TATTCCCTCTACAAATAGAAAGTCGCCACGTGTCCAAAAGAGATTCGAAGGGACTTCTCTGTCAGGTCGAGATCGAACCTAGCAGAGAGGGGGCCGATGTTTGGGGGTAAAACTTACCCAGGACACGTGGAGGACCATTATTCGTGTTGGAAGAAATTAGATAAAAATGATTGCTTAGGTCCACCTTGGCCCCGCCGAGGTGAACCGAGTTTGCCCCTTAAAAGATGAAGTATGGGCACCAAAGCTCGACCTGATTGTGGTCCGACCTGCTCGGAACCCGACAGGTCCGATACGAGAAAAGACATGTAACCGCCGGTCGCGCGTGCTGTCGGGCCCATTACCTATAAATAGAGGAGTACATTTCACGCTCAGGGAAAAAATCTGACCTCGAACTAGAGTCYGATCTATACTGACTTGAGCGTCGGAGTGTTCGCCCTCTTGTGCAGGTCCACTCTAGTGTTCAGGTCGAGACCGGAGACCGGGTTCGACCTCGATTCGTGAAGAACCGTTGTGCAGATTCCTGCATAAACAGAGGTAGACTTTGTTGTTATTTGATTGTTTTAAATGCAGCAACCAAGTTTTAATCATTATTTTTCTTGTCTTGGTTATATTTCCATTCCATTTGTCATTTCTTAAAATAAATCCAAATTGCAAGTAATGACATAACTCATTGTAGCTGAAGAAAGATTACTTTCAAAATATGAGAACAGTTTGCTACTTGAGTCGGTGGTCATTGATGTGGTACCGACTTAAGATACTGTAAAGGTGTATTTGGGAGTAATTTTGGCACGATCAAAATCATTTTTGCTATTGTCAAAATCATTCTTATTTCCATGGATCATGTTGGCAAATTAAAAAAAATTAATTTTAGGAAGGTTTAAAATCACTTTAAATTGATTTTTAAAGTATCTTGCAAATTGATTTTGAAAAATCAATTATATTAAAAAAAATTTCAAATTACTTAAAGACTCAAATGCAAAGAAATAGAGAAAATAAGAGGCATGTAATAGTACGAGTAATCAAACTGAGTTGAGGTGAATTTCTCTCCAAGGATGAAAGTTGTTCCTTGTATAGGAAACTTGGTTGGAGGTCAAAATAGTGTTGCCACGAGGAGAACATAAAAAGATCAAAAGAATAAGATTTTACTTAGAGAACCATCCCTAGAGGGACCAACCTTCAATACTTAGCCACAAACGTTGCAAAGACACTCTCTTGGAGCGAAAGTATGACCCATGTTCGACCATTAACACCCGACAATCCGACATTCGAGATGACATCAATGACCGCTTGTCGGATCCTCAACTTATAAATAAAAAGCCTCAATTCTATACTAAGTATCGCTTTCTAGCACAGTCTCCATACTAAGGTCGAAATTAAATTGACTTGAGCATCCAAAAGTTTGTCTCTATTTTTTTGTTGTCAATGACACTCAAGCTCTCCCAATTGACATAGATCAAATTTGAACTTGACCAATTTTGTTGCACAAACATATTCCTCAAGAGCAATCATATAATTAAATTTAATGGATTAATTCAACAAAACTACTAAATCTATGCATCCATCATCAATGCGAACAAGTTTTATCATTTTCTTCTTGTTTCTATATCTTCTCTTTAGCTAAGAAAAATAGAATTAAATGCTCCCAACATCTACTGAGTCAATTAAATATCCCAAAATTGAAAGTTTCAATACTCTTAAAACATTTGTTAAAATTCTTAATAAAATTTGAAAACTAGATGAATAAGAAACAAAAACATTATCTCGAGGCTCGTTTGGTAACGTTTATGTTTTCTCCTTTTGAATAAAGAAAAGTGGGTTGCATTACTCCTACCTCCATGAATTCAAGTATAATATTTTTATCTGTATTTTAGAATAAATTAAAAATAGGACAAGAAAGAAGAAGTTTATTTTAATTGTTTTCAAATTTTATATATAATTTTGAGAATGTTGTAGAAATAAGAAATATATATTAATTATAAAATGGTTAGATTTGTCGAGAAAATTAGAAACAACAAGCACGAACAAAAGGGGAACCAAAGGGGAACGACGTAATCAAATGAGTCCGTAATTTTTTCTGTTTCTCAGAGGAAATTTAAGGGGAGAGAGAGAAAAAAAAGAGGTCACCACCAAGTCTCAGGCGAGCACGAAAGGGGAAGAAGGAAGCGAAGCTCTGTCTCAGAAATCAAAACCTAAACCGAAAACCAGGAGAGATGGGCAAAGATCTGAGCGACGACCAGAAATCCTCCATGAAAGAGGCCTTCACTCTCTTCGATACCGACGGCGATGGCCGGATCGCCCCATCGGAGCTCGGGATTCTCATGCGCTCCCTCGGCGGCAACCCCACTCAAGCTCAGCTCAAAGCCATCATCGCCGAGGAGAGCCTCACTTCCCCCTTCGATTTCAATCGCTTCCTCGACCTCATGTCCAAGCACATGAAGCCCGAGCCGTTCGATCGCCAGCTCCGCGACGCCTTTAAGGTTCTCGACAAGGACAACACCGGCTTCGTCTTGGTCTCCGAACTCCGCCACATTTTGACCAGTATAGGTGAGAAGCTCGAGCCGTCCGAGTTCGATGAGTGGATTCGAGAAGTCGATGTCGGATCGGACGGTAGAATTCGGTATGAGGATTTCATTGCCAGAATGGTGGCCAAATGAGGAGGGAAGTAATGGCAATTGGTTTCCTCTTTCGTGTGCTTTACTGGAATCCTTTCTGAAGTAATTTGTGGCGATGTTTGCTGTTCCTTTTATTTTCCCCCTTTTTCTTTTCTATTTCTGTTAATTGGTTTCATATTACGAGACTTGCTTGGATTTTTGGTGGAATGGATGCGGGTCATGTTCGCATGCTTTCCCAAGTAATGCTAATATTATTTGAAAAGATTTAGGATTCTGATGGGGTGGATATGTTTGGATGGATTCGAGGTGTATTGAAAACTGTGGTTTTCTGGGTAACGTAGAATCTGGTGAACTGTATGTGTTTCTCAGCTTGAATTCTCCCACAATTTATTGTCTTGATGGTTGCTATTTCTGCAGCCTCGTTTAGTAAGGGAGACAGAGATGGTGTCTTTTTGTTCACAATGCCTTATGAGATAAGAAACCTGATGTGCATGTTTTAACTTTAAATCAAATCCACCTGATATATGTTAGGTGTCCAAGAACTAATCATATAGTATGTGTTTAAGATGATTACAAGGTTCTGTTGCTACAATGTATATATTTTGAATTTGAATGTAGTGAACCGAGGCTAAAATGAGCATCAAAAGCTTGGCTCTAGACTCCATTTTTTTACTCAATCTACTTTCTTTCCAGAAAAAGAATTCCTCAAAATACATCCCTCTCAATTTGTTGTAAAAGGGATCTTTGATGTGTGGGTGGGGTGCACAGATATTTTTTAAGACTTCACCTTTCTGTATTCGAGATACCATACCTTTCTGTTAGGTTCTGAGATGAGGGAGTAGAGGTATTAGCTTTAAGAGCTATGAATCTACAGGAGATCATTTACAAATGAAGTGTGCTCACTTTTCCCATACAGCTTTTTTATGTTAGGGAACATTGTAGTATGTAAATTTTAGTACTGATTTACCAAGGAACTATATTTTGGCTTTCTGTCGGAATTCTGTGCATTATGTTTCTTGCATTGATAATGGACAGGCTTTTGAGGTTCTAAGTTGTCTCCACTGGATACCGGGTTGAGGTCTGTGGCACGGTTAAACATGTAGCTGTTTGGAATTTTCCTTTCCTAGTATGTTAAATCCATATACCAACCTATGAGAGAAGTCCATGGTCTTTTCCCTTGGAAAAACACATGTTTTAGAAGTTCATAGCCAAGTTTTATGAGCAAATCAACGGATTGTTTAAGTAGATAAAAGGAATATAAAATTTGATAGAGTTTTACTAAAAAAGTTTTGGTAAATATTGTGTTTATGGAATTACTCCTGAACTTACTCCTGAACTTAGAACTAGTAGGGCTAAGATCTCTCCAAATATGGGGAGGTGACAAAATTTGGAGGCATTTTTATTTATTTGTGAGATTTCAAGCAGATCTTCTAAAACAATATCTGCTTTTTATGGATATCAAGAAACAAAGCTGGGCCGTAAGATCATGTCAATGACTCTTAGGTTGATGGATATAATCCAATCAGGTATAAAGCTTCAGTTTTGAGTTGGACCAAATGGAGATCTCTTGTTCTAAATTTACCGATTAATTTTTTACTATTGATCAAAGTCGGGATTATTTATTTTTGTTGTGGTTTCCTGACCTTGAAGGTATTCATGTTGAACTCAAATTATGAATCCTTTCATTTTTCTCTCCCCATCATTTTGTTAACCAACTTCTCCTCCCCTGCTCTTTTTGATTAAGCTGGAACTATTTCAAGATTTTTGGCCTCTCATGATGTAACCCTCAGGCTAGCTGTGATTTTATACATTATATCTTTTATGTTTAATTCTTTTGCTGGCAAAGTTAAGGGTTCTATGGCGTAAAGTTCTCGATACGGCCTTTGTTCAAATTTTCTAATCAACTCTCAATTGGAAATTATTTTTGTAACCTTCCTTGGGTTATGGATGGAGGTTACCAACCTACCATCTTTTTGCACCAGTTTCTTAACATATATATTGATTATTGATCATGGAAGAAGGTGTAGAAGTGGCATGCCATTGAGTTTATTTTCACTTCATGTGAACTTTCTTCTCATTTATTTTAGGATTCAGGAATGAAGGACTATATCGTCTAGCTGTATTCAGTCCTAATCATATGTGCCGCTTATGTTGTCTACCAGTTTAGTTGGTTACCTTATGTGTAAGAACTTCATAATTTTAAATGCATCTTCTGATTACGTTTCTTTCGTCCTTACATTATTTCAATATTGCATTTCAAATGAGAGGGGGAGGTTCAAATTTACATGCAAAGACACTATGTTCAAGTCAATGATTCTTAAGCTCTTTAAGATATATAGAAGTTGCCTGCAGGTTTGTAACTCGTAAATGACTATTATGCTAAATGCTGATCTATATTCTGCCATAGTTTGAACTCATTCGAGAAGTTATTGCTGCTCACTCTTACAATGTAAGCAATATTGATTGCTATTCCAAAAACTATGTGCAGTTCAATGATTCTTAAGTTTTTTAAGATATATAGAAGTTGCCTGCAGGTTTGTAACTCGTAAATGACTATTATGCTTAATGCTGATCTATATTCTGCCATAGTTTGAACTCATTCGAGAAGTTATTAGATGTTACTCTTACAGTGCAAGCAATGTCAATTGCTATTCCAAGAACTATATGCAGTTAAATGATTCTTAAACTCTCTAAGATATATAGAAGTTGCCTGCAGGTTTGTAACTCGTAAATGATCAGAATGCCAAATGCTGATCTATATTTTATGATTTCAACCTCATTTGAGAAGTTATTGCTTGTTACTCTTACAACCTGAGCAATGTTGATTGCTATGCCAAGGGGTAGATTTTCCACTGCATCGTTACTTTGAATTGTCTTTATTCTTGTGTTTTGTTTCTCTCTTTTTCATTAGTTTGAATTGTACTTTAATTAAAGCATGCATCTGACCCAAGCTGTTCTTTGTCTTTTGGAAAGAGCGTATGAAATAGAATGTCCAGAGAAAAAATACTTTTATTTTTTGTAACTTAGCGAGTATATTTGAATCAATTTTGGTCAAAATGAACACCAAACTAATGCATGATTTTGCCACCAAAGGATTGTGGATTCGATTCTTATTCTCATAAGTCGTAGTATAAAAAAAAGAAAAAAAAATTAATGCATGGTTTTGAGGAAAAAATCTAATGTGAAATATATGTTTTGAAAATCAATTGTACTGCTTAACTCAAATCGTATCAATCATATCAAATTAAATCAATTATTAGATATCCATAAATAAATTAAATATATATGTATATAATAAATTAAAGTAGAAAACAAAAGATAAAATAGTTGTAAGACTTTAGTCACTAGCTCTGGAATGGAAGAAGAAAATGAGCTGATCAAGAAAGTCATCTCCTGAATACAATATGACAAAGTGTTCGAAGAACTTTTTATTACAAATAAAGTGAAATGAAGCTTAAGAAGTTGTATTTCTATTTATGAGCAATATAATGTTTTGTAACTTTATTTTTTCCATTTATTTTAAAGAAAATTTCTTTAAATTGTCTACAAATTTTGGAAACAACACCATCATATTTTTTGTTTCTAGTTCCCGTTTCCAGTTTTTCAAAAACATAAAAATAAATTATTTTATCATTTTTTATTTATGAAATTCGAAATAAATATTAAAAAAATAATTAAATATAACACAATAATTTTGAATCTTTTGTTTTTAAGAACTAATTTACATTAAAACTTAGTTTTTTTCCCCTAAATTTAAAAAATGAGAAAACAACAAACAATATATAGTAATCAAATGTATACCTTTTTCAATTAAAAAGAAAGGATTTGAAACAATTACCAAACATAACTTAATTTTCTTTCTTAAAAGAGAGGAGACAAGAAACCAATAAAGTTACCAAATAAATCCTAAATAATTTTTATTTATTTTTCCAAATAGTTTTTTTATTGTTATATCTAAAATCCTAAATATTATAATTATCATCCAATCAAAAGGTACAACAACTGAATTGAACCTCCAAAAGTAATGGAACCAAAGAAAAGGTACAAAAGGAAGGCTCATGATTTCTATTTCTCTTGTCCCATTTATTATTGTTTCTTTTTTTTTTCTCTTCTTAATAATCAATTTAGAATTTGTTTAATAAAAGTAATATCTACACGTGTAAGTGTAAATCTTTTACTAAAATGGATTCAAAAAATAAAAATTATTTTTAAGGAGAATGAAAAGAAAGTTGAGGACCTGTTTAGTAAGGTTTTCGTTTCTCGTTTCTTATTTCATGTTTCTAATTTATTTAGAACTAGAAACACAAATATGGTTGTTAACCATTTATGATTCTTGTTTTTTTTTTAAATAGAAGCAAAAATATGTTTAATAACTATTTCCTATTTCTTGTTTCTATTTTTATTTTTTTTAGTACAATCACTTGTAAGGTCGAACCCACAACCCACAACCTCTTGACCAATAATTTATATCTTTATTGAAGTTTGCTTATTTTTATTTTAAGTTAAATAAAATATAGTAAATATGATATAAAAAGGCATAACATATACTTGAAGAATATAATTTATTAAAGAAAATATAATTTACAATATAAAATTCTTTGATATAAAAGTCTAAATTATTAACTTTAAATGAAAAATAAAGTTTCAAAATATTTTTTATTTGAAAAATAGAAAATTTTTTGTTTAATAAAATATAATAGCCTTTTAAATAAAGAATAAATTTTCAAAATATTTTAAATTAAAAATATAAATATAAAAAAGGGAAAAAAATTATAATTAAAGAAAATATGATTTACCATATAAATTTCTTTTGATATAAAAGTATAAATTATTAGTTTAAATAAAGAATAAAAATTTAGAATATTTTTAATTTGAAAAATATAAATTTTTGTTTACGAAAATATAATCGCTTTAAATAAAGAATGAATTTTCAAAATATTTTAAATTAGAAAAATATAAAATATAAAAAGATTAAATTTTTTTATTTTTTATTTTATTTTTTTTGCATTTTATGAGGATCAAACCTTGGAATGGATTAGAGTATACCATGAGGTAAACACAAATACAATGATGCGATTCTTTAATTTTACACAACTTAACACAAGATATATTATCTAAATCTTGAACACAAAAATAAAGGAACAAAAACGAAAAAAAATGAAACAATTTTTTGTAATTTCTAAAAATTGGTCCCTTTTTTGAAAACATTTCTTAATTTTTAGAAATTACAAACGAGATTGGTTATCAAACATATCTGTTTCTCAAATTGAGAAACTGGAAATTGAAACCAAATGGGTTCGAGGTTTTAATGCTTTTATTAATATATATTAAATTCAATATGTTTGGTAGAAATTCGAACCAACAACCTTTTAGTCGTAGATAGATACTTTGACCAGTTAAGGTATGTTCAAGTTGT